CGATACGACTGGCCCTCCTTCACATGGAAGACTTCTCACCGTGACCCACCGATACGACTGGCCCTCCTTCACATGGAAGGCTTCTCACCGTGACCCACCGATACGACTGGTCCTCCTTCACATGGAAAACTTCTCACCGGGACCCTCCGATCCGACTGGTTCTCCCTCTCATTTAAAACTTCTCACCGGGAATGGCCGATCCGACTGGCCCTCCCTCTCATGGAAAACTTCTCACCGGGACCCACTTCACACGCGGAAGGAGGATCGGCCGGCGAAGCCGGCCGATCCGACTGGTACTGAATAAGAACTGTTCACTAGATAAGGACAACCTTTTGGTGTGTTCCGAGCCATTGTACATGTTGCACTGTTTGCACGGGCTGATTTCGGGATCTTGCTGTTATGGTACTCAATTTCCTATGTGGTGAACTAGTGGGAATCTAGGGCTGGTGTAGCATTTGATCGTATAGATCATAACATGGTTTCCAACTCCGAGGAACTCGAGCATGGTTACCCTTCAGCTTTGTTTGCGCCCCCATGTAGCGAAAGTGTCATGTATTCACAGCTGCCAACCCCTTCACTCGCCGTGGCAAAGAAGGTCTTGGGGTTGAATGCGCTCTTCAGCTCAAAGGGGTTTTTCAAGATTACATAAACACACGCTGACATTTTTCTAGAGGAAATGAAGCTTGCTGGCAAAATGATACAAGTTTCCAAGCTTTCGTAGAGTAACCGTTCTAGAACACCATATGCGGGCACCGCAGATATGAACGAACATTTATTCAAAACCACCAGCTTTCTCGGAATTCAAAAGGATAACACAAAACGCAAATGGATGGGTCAAGCATCGAGTTGAGAGAGTGCGAGCGCGTGTTCTATCATCCGTTCAGAACTGGCAATCTTCATTAGTAGAATCTGTAAAAGAGAAAGCTTAATAACGGTGAGAAGAAGAAGGACTCGGATAATTTCAGCTCATTTGAGGCATGACAACGCGGCGAAAGAGGCATTGCTAGTATAGACCCAACGAAGCTTAAAGTAGATGCGTTCCTGCATTTTTTCGCGGCGCTACCTTGCTTCCGCCAGACGTTGACACAAAGGGGCGTTGCCATATGAACCTTCCACCATACAGTAGGTTTCGTTGATACCTCACCTAGACTGACAGTGAGTAGCCCCAGATTACTCTACCCCTCGACACCCGATGGCGGCTGAAATCCACTTTGATTAATGGAGCGAGCTTATTATAATGGCAGGTATTCAGGGAGACGGTAAAGAGGATCGTAATTCGCCGCACCGCCACGCGCGGCGATGGGCGCGGCGTTTTCATAACTCGTTTTAACCTGTCGAATGGAGCACCGGACTTCATGTAGACCCCGTCATCGTAGACACTCATTACTGTTTTCGGTCCTTAATTGCATGTTTCTGCTATCTACAATCTGGAACCATCG